CCTGGCCTTGGTGAAACAGGTGGACCTGCGCGTGCACAGGAGCCTTAGGCCTGAAGCTGAGTGTCCTGCCCGCGGGCTCCCCTGGCTGGACGGTGGTCTCCACTAAGCCATCGCTCAGTTAAGTTGGATGCACAGATAACACAGACGTGTTTCTAAACTTCAGCAGCTGCTTTGAAAAAGAAAGAAGAAATTCTCCTCGTGGAACAGGATCCTCTGTGCAAACAAACTCCAAATATTTACCTAGGCTGGCCGCACAGGCCCGTGAGCGCTGGGAATAACAGGAACTGTATTTATTTTCTTTTTCTGTTAAACAAAAATTAGTTCCAGAAATCTTAACTGATGGTCTTTCTCGTCAAAGAGCAAAACAGCTTTGCAGGCAAACTTTGGGGCCAAGAATGCAGAGGTCGTAAGAGCAGCCCTGTTCCCTGACACACCTGGGCCCTGACCAGACGCCCCGTCCTGGAGAAGCTCTGACCTGCTCCGTGCCTTGCCTACCAGCAGACGGACAGGGTGTCCCCCCAGGCCCTCACCAGTCCTGCGCGTGCACACCTGGGACAGCTGCCTGATCAGCATAAAGCGTGGCCCCTGCCTCCTTAGATGCTTCCAGAAGTTAAATAGGGCAATGCACTTACCATGGTGCCCACTCAGAGCAGCTGCCTAGAAAACAAGTGGGCTCCTACCCGTCCACATTGCCCCACCTCAGGGGGCCTCGGGCTGCGTCGACTCCGAGTCTCCTCACCGTCTGCAGGGCAGGCGAGGCCAGAACGGTCCCCATTGAGGTCTACCCTACGCAGCGGTGGGGGTCCTACACCATGGGGGGCTGAGCCATGGGGGGTGTCAGTGCCTCCCTGCACCCCTGGAGGACTCCGTGGGTCAGTCCCAGCAAGACTGGCCTTAGAGGGCAACTCCAGACCTGACCCTGATTCCTGGCCGTGCTCCAGAGCAGGGGACAGCTGCACCCCCGGGCCCCAGTTTCCTGAAGTCCCTTTACCTTTTGGTTCAGTGAGGGGTCCACACCGTCTGACCCAGAGCCCAGGGGAGAGGTGGTCTCCCTCTCCTCAGGAGGTGAGAGGACGGGGGCAGGGGTGACTCGGGGGTGGACGGTGAGAGGACGGGGGCAGGGGTGACTCGGGGGTGGACAGTGAGAGGACGGGGGTGACTCGGGGGTGGACGGTGAGACGACGGGGGTGACTCGGGGGTGGACGGTGAGAGGACGGGGGCTGGGGTGACACAGGGGTGGACAGTGAGAGGACGGGGGTGACACAGGGGTGGACAGTGAGAGGACGGGGGTGACTCGGGGGTGGACGGTGAGAGGACGGGGGTGACACAGGGGTGGACAGTGAGAGGACGGGGGTGACACAGGGGTGGACAGTGAGAGGACGGGGGTGACACAGGGGTGGATGGTGAGAGGACGGGGGCTGGGGTGACACAGGGGTGGACAGTGAGAGGACGGGGGTGACACAGGGGTGGACAGTGAGAGGACAGGAGCAGGGGTGACACAGGGGTGGACAGTGAGAGGACGGGGGCAGGGGTGACTCGGGGGTGGACGGTGAGAGGACGGGGGCTGGGGTGACACAGGGGTGGACAGTGAGAGGACGGGGGTGACACAGGGGTGGACAGTGAGAGGACGGGGGTGACTCGGGGGTGGACGGTGAGAGGACGGGGGTGACTCGGGGGTGGACGGTGAGGGGACAGGGGCAGGGGTGACTCAGGGGTGGACAGTGAGGGGACAGGGGTGACTCGGGGGTGGACGGTGAGACGACGGGGGTGACTCGGGGGTGGACGGTGAGAGGACGGGGGTGACTCAGGGGTGGACAGTGAGAGGATGGGGGCAGGGGTGACACAGGGGTGGACAGTGAGAGGACGGGGGCAGGGGTGACTCGGGGGTGGACAGTGAGAGGACGGGGGCAGGGGTGACACAGGGGTAGACGGTGAGAGGACGGGGGCAGGGGTGACTCAGGGGTGGACGGTGAGAGGACGGGGGCAGGGGTGACTCGGGGGTGGACAGTGAGAGGACGGGGGTGACTCGGGGGTGGACGGTGAGAGGACGGGGGTGACACAGGGGTGGACAGTGAGAGGACGGGGGTGACACAGGGGTGGACAGTGAGAGGACAGGGGTGACACAGGGGTGGACAGTGAGAGGACGGGGGTGACACAGGGGTAGACGGTGAGAGGACGGGGGCAGGGGTGACACAGGGGTGGACAGTGAGAGGACGGGGGTGACTCGGGGGTGGACGGTGAGAGGACGGGGGTGACACAGGGATGGACAGTGAGAGGACGGGGGTGACACAGGGGTGGACAGTGAGAGGACAGGGGTGACACAGGGGTGGACAGTGAGAGGACGGGGGTGACTCGGGGGTGGACGGTGAGAGGACGGGGGTGACACAGGGATGGACAGTGAGAGGACGGGGGTGACACAGGGGTGGACAGTGAGAGGACGGGGGTGACACAGGGGTGGACAGTGAGAGGACGGGGGTGACACAGGGGTGGACAGTGAGAGGACGGGGGTGACTCGGGGGTGGACGGTGAGGGGACAGGGGCAGGGGTGACTCAGGGGTGGACGGTGAGGGGACAGGGGCAGGGGTGACTCGGGGGTGGACAGTGAGAGGACGGGGGTGACTCAGGGGTGGACAGTGAGAGGACGGGGGCTGGGGTGACTCAGGGGTGGACGGTGAGAGGACGGGGGTGACTCGGGGGTGGACGGTGAGGGGACAGGGGCAGGGGTGACTCAGGGGTGGACGGTGAGGGGACAGGGGCAGGGGTGACTCAGGGGTGGACGGTGAGGGGACAGGGGCATGGTGCAGGGGTAGACGGTGAGAGGATCGAGGGGGGGGATGGTGCAGAGCAGCCCTGGGGCAGAGGCGGAGTCTTGCGGGGCAACAGATCCCCTGGCAGCCCCAGTCCATCCTGGTGGCCATCTCCAAGTGTCTCTAAGACAAGCTGGAACAGCCAGCTGTGGCTGAGGGGCCATGTGTGCGTGGAGGAGGGGCCATATTGGTGACAGGAGCTGGCAGGCATGCAGCGGGCTCTTGCCTACCCCCAAGGCCCAGGGAAGGGAAATGGAGGTGGCCAGAGGTCATTGGTGAGACACTGCTCCGTGCCTGCAGGGACCCAGGACAGCTCTGGGCCCAGGACCAGCATGGGGAGGCACTGGGCCCCAGGGTGGGAGCCCTGGGAGGCAGGGTGCCTCTGGTGGCCCGCCACCAGCTTCCCCTCTGGCCTCCACAGAGTCCTCAGGAGGAACAACCGAGGTCCCGCAGAGGCTCTGAGCTGGTCTCCCCCAACCAAACCCAAGGGTGGGCTGGGAGGGACCTGGCTGGGGCTGCAGCCTGCACTGATGCGGGCCAGCCTGCCCATCCCAGGCTGCGGCCAGGCACAGGGCGTCTCGGGGCTCTTCAGCATGGTGGGCTGCTGGGCGAAGAGCCTCTGTAGCAGGACCTCTGTGGGGGGCCAGAGCCACGGCATTGGCTCCCGGGAAGCCCTTCTGCCTGGACCCCAGGAGGGTCCGCTCTGGGCCAGGGGCTGCTTCCGCCTGGTCCTGGGGTTGCTCCCAACACACCCACCTGCTCCTCTCTCCCCAGGTCTGGCCATTCCTGTGAACCTTCACAACCCTCTGAACTTCTGGGTGTGATCTGTAGTGGCCCAGCTGGGAGGAGGTGCGGGGCGTGCTGCAAGCTCCCTGGGGTCCGACGACCGGGTCTGCCGGGGATGTCCTGGGGGGCTGTGTCTAGGACATGACTGGTGTGGTGTGTACCTAGGTCGTTCATGGCCTGTGCCCCCAGGTGGGGTCTGGCTGAGCCTCACAGTGGGGAGCTTGTGAGAGGCGAATGCTCCCAGGCTCACATGGAGAAGGGTCTGAGGGCTGCAGTCCTCCACGGGGAAGCACAGCAGAGGCCCAGGGGCCGTCCACGGCACCAAAACCAAGTGAGGCGAGCTGCTGGTCAGCCCCAGAGTGCCCAGCCGAGTTCAGCAGCCTTCCCCACATCCAGAAGGGCAGACGGCTGGGCTCCAAGCCCCAGGGTGGTAAGGAAATCAACATGCTTTCCTGTGCCGAAATATAGAGCACAGGGCGCGGAACTGCGTGGGCCAGGGCGGCCTTGCTCTTCCGGAACCAGAGCCCTGTTTTGGAGGACGACGCTTGTTCTTGTCTGGCTCCACACGCCACCTGGACAGCGTCTCTGCGGCCCTGACCCCCGCTGCCCGGAGCTTATTCCTGGGTCCCTTATTACTGCGGGGTGTGTCTGTATGTATGTGAAGTGTGCGTAGAGTGAGGTATGTGTGTTGGGCGTGTGGTGTGTGTGTGAGTCACATGCGTGGTACACGGTGTGTGGTATATGGTGGACGTTGTGTGGTTTTGTATGTGGTTTGCGTGGTGTGGGGTGTGGATGTGACCTGAGTGTGGGACATGGTCTATAGTGTATGGTGTGGTGTGTGTACCTGGTGTGTGTGGTGTGTATGTAGGTGAGAGTGCCTCGCACGTGGTATGGTGTGTGTGTGGTATGTGTGTGTATCTAGGACGTGACTGGTGTGGTGTGTGTATGTGACCTGAGTGTGGGACACGGTGTACACTGTGTGTGTGGTGTGTGTACCTGGTGCATGTGTGGTGTCTACATAGATGAGACTGCCTCGTTCATGGTGTGGTGTGTGTGTGTTGTGTGTGTCTAGGATGTGACTGGTGTGGTGTGTGTATGTGACCTGAGTGTGGGACATGGTGTACACTGTGTGGTGTGGTGTGTGTACCTGGTGTGTGTGTGTGGTGTGGTGTGTGTCTAGGTGACACTGCCTTGCACGTGGTGTGGCGTGTGTGTGGCAGCATACAGGCCACTGTTGTGTCCACTCCTGCCTGGTTCCACACCTCCACAGTGGTGAGCAGGGCCTGGAGTGGCTCAGCTGGGCAGGTGGTGGCCCCCGCCTGGGTTCCAAGGACCCCCACCCACTCTGCAGGGTGCTGTGCTACCCACACGCCCAGCGCAGCCCGCAGGGTCTCCCCCCCCCCCCCGTCTTCACCAGCACTTCCCGTGTGTGACTTCGATGGCAGCCCCTCTAACTGGGATGAGAGCACCTCCTCAACTCTTGGTTTGCATTTCCCTGATGGCTGATGACACATAGCTTTTTTGTAGGTATTTGTTGGCCATTTGTATTTCTTCTTTTGAGAAGTGGCCTTGGGGCCTTTTGCTCTTTTGTGTGATGGTGTGAGCGTCTCACATTCCACAGGAATTTGAAACACAGGGTAAAATACCCACCTGTGTACCCAAGTGCTGGTTTTCCAATATGATCGAACCAGAAAACAACGGAGTCGTTCTCTCCAAGGTTTTTCTGCCTGCTCTCGGGCTGGGCCTCCACTTCTCTGTGTACGGACATTTGCATTGACCTGAACTGTCCCCTTGGTCACTGAGGCTTTGTTCATTTTTTAACCTTTCTTCCCCCTAACTGCTTCGTTTTAAATAGATTCTACCAGGAAGCCTTCAAATCAAGTGACCCTTGCTTCTGCAATATTTAACGGCTGCTAAGTTCATCCAGAGGGTTCTCCTGTGCAGATAATATTTCCACAACTCCAGTTCTTTCTCTTTCTTCCTCATATCCAATCTTCCTTCCTTCCCTAATTGTATCTAAACTGCTGCTTGGACATTCCGAAGGCGGACTCCACCCTCTCTCTGTGGAGAGCACACGTGGACCAGCTTGGCTCCTGGCCTCGAGTCACCTCCTGGGCTTCCGGTGTCTGGTGAGGTTTGAGGGCTGCTGAACATCGTGGTGGTGACTGCTGAATGTCTGCACCATCTTCCCCTCTTGAGAACGCTGTACTGTTTTGAGTAACAGGGTAACTCCACCCTTTCCATACCTGGTTTTAGGGCCACTAGGGCAGGTTGGGGTGGCATCTACTCCGAGGCTAAGGCAGCGCCTCTCCTAAGCGATGCCCCTTTTAGGATCCATACTTAATCCTCCCATTTTTTTCTTGTGTCTCTTTTCTTGGGCTTGACAGGAATCTAGTGTGTTTGCAAGTTCTGGAAAGTTTCAGTTTACAGCTTCGCCTAAGTGGTGGGATTCCGTCCTGTGCTTGTGTGGATTCCTGGAGTTCTTTCTATATGACTCCCCACTCTCTTCTCTGCAAAGTCCAGGCACCCAGCTCAGCCAGGGTCCGCCTCTGTCTTCTCAACCTGGCAAGACCCCTCTTCTGCCTGGTGCCTCCCCCGGGGAGGGAGCTGAATTCTCACAGAGCAGGAACAGCCCCAGCATGGCCCTCCTTCCTTCTCCTCAGACCACGTCCTGGGCTATCCGCTGTCCCCCTTCTGAGTCGGGGTCTTCTCAGTTTCTCTCCAGGGCTGCAGGCTTTGGCCTGGAGAGGGAAAGATCAGCCAGTTACTGCATCAGGCTGCAAGCCAACCTTTCCCAGTCACTCATTTTTTTTTTCTAACAAATTAAAAAATGAGAAAAAAAATAATACTGACCCAGAATGCCAGTAACTGGGTAATTAGCAGTGGAGGGGCCCCCACAGGCCACCAAGACTGCCCTTCATCTCACAGGTGGGGCAATAGAGGCTATTCCCCCAGCTACCCTGGAGGAACCAGCGGTCTGTCTTCAGGTGGCAGCGGAGTGCTCCACCAAGGTGTCCTGTGGCCTCAGTGCGTACACCATTCCACATCTGTGACAGCCACTCCACGTCCAGGAGTGGTAATCTGGCATGCAATATTTACAAGGATTGTCCTGGGAATGCAAAGGTGGAATAGGTATCACCTCTGCTCTTGGGAATTAATGATCTTAACACATTGAGCAGTGGGCGAGAATTTAAGAGAAACTGATTTTTAAAAAGCCCCGTGGATCATCACATAATGGAGAAGGTACAAGTAAGGGTCGCGTAAGCAGGAAGCCTGGAGGGCATCAGCTGAAGCAGGCCACCTTGGTCCTCACGGGGGGCTTCTGACTGGAGCACTTGCTGCTCTGTGTGACTTGGAAAAAGACCCGTGGAGCAAGAAGGGCTGCAGCCCCCCACCAGCCCGGGGAGATGGGCGTGTTACCTGTGGTTCTGGAACCCGGGCTGCAGGTTGCCCACGAAAGGCAACCAGGGACCAAGTGCTAGAGGAGCTGTGGCAGGGACAGGGTCAGCCCGGAGGTGGGGGGTGCTGAAGAACCCAGCTGCTCTCTCCTGGGTCTGTGTGCAACCAGCACAGAGGGGCAGCTCCGTGTGGGCCCGGGGCAGACGAGCAAGCTGCAGCACGGCACTGCTCCCTAAAGTCGCACTGCCCTGTGTCCATCAATAACTTCCTCACGCAGCCCAATATGCCTGGAGGGCATCAGCTGAAGCAGGCCACCTCAGTATAAAATGTCCCCATCAGTCCAGCTCCCCTTCAGGAGGTGTGACCGCCTCCTGAACATGCTTCTCATCAGTAGAGAAGCTTGCAGCAGGTAAAACTGTCCCAGAGGGGCTGGGTCCAGGCAGGTGGACCAGAGAACCTCTCCCTGGCTAAAGTGCAGCTGGCAGAGGCAAAGGCGAGGGATGAACGACCTCCGGCTCCCTGCTTCCCAAACCCGGGCTCCAATGCGGATGGTCCCCTGCCCCTGGAGTGGCGGAATCCAAATGCCCAGTGCTGCTCTCACAACCCGCTGCAACCTCTTCCCACCTGTGCTGGAAGCCCAGGGCCCCGAGGAAGGGGTGGCTGAGCGCGCCCCTCGGCCTCCCCTCCACCTCCGTCTCGCTTCCTGGAGGTGCTCTGGCACGCGGCCTAGTCGACCTCTGGCCCTGACGTCTCCCAGCACCTGATGCCTCAGTGCCCCCCGGTCTCCAGCTGTCTCTGGTCCACATTTCTGCGTCTCCTCCTCTGCTTCTCCCTCTCTAGTCAGCTGATTTGGTTTCCTGAATCCTCGCTGGGCAGCTTCCTCCTATTGTCTGAGTGTCACCCTCTGGCAGGATACTGAGGCCCAGGGACACAGAGGACATTGGCTGGGGAGACGGCAGCCCAGCCCATCCACTGGGTACAAGCTGAAGACAAGCAGCTCCTGGAAACAGCCCAGGACACTGTTGAGCCACGCTGGCCACTTGGGGCAGCCCCTCAGACAGGAGTTCTCAGAAGACATTTTTCATGTGACTTAGCATGAAATTAAACTTTTCAACATGATAATGTCCACCCTGTGTCCAGCAATTAAATGGATCTCAGGAGATGATCCAGCCCTGGCCTCTGTGTCAGCTGCGGGCTGCTCTGGCCAGGGACCCCATAGTGTCCTCGGAGCTCCAAGCACATGGCCTCACTCACCTCCCAGGGACTGTGGGAGGTGCCATTACCACTGTCCCCACCTGCAGGGGAGGAGCCCAAGGCAGGAGCCTTCACCCAGGAGAGCCGGGACCCGAGCAGGATGCCACCTCACAGCCCGCCAGACACTCCGTTGTGGGTCTGTGAGCCACGGGCCCACGTGTTCCAGGGGAGGACCTCCCAGGGGCGTCTGCCAACCAGCACAGACAGCTGGTGAACACAGATGCCAACCTGACAGGACAGTGAGAGAGTGGCCATCCTGGCATCGACCGCCCAGCGTGGGTCCACACACAGGGTGTGTCCATGCACAGGCTCAGCTGTGACGTGGTTGCAGGGGAGGCCTCAGAGCTGAGCCTGTGTCTCCAGCAGAATGAGGCAGGGACATGTCCCCAGGAAGACATGTGGCCTCCGCCCAGGCAGCCCCCAGGACCTCCTGGAGCAGAACGGTCAGGCTGAGGGACATTGGCCTGGAGAGCCAGGTCCTGAATTTCCCTGGATAAACCTGGCTGCAGGATACAGAGTTCTACTGAGCTCACAAAGTCACTTCGCTAAGTCATACCCAAATGCTGCATGCAAGGCCAACATCTCCATAGGCTAGACCTTCAGTGGCTCACCAGCACAGAACGGGGGGCTCAGAGGAAAGCGGGTACTCAGGAGGAGAGGGGTGCTCAGGGAGAAGCAGCGTGCTCAGGGAGGAGACAGGGCGTGTGCTGTCAACAGGGAGTAATCCGGGTGCTCGGAAACAGTGCTCGGGAGCCACCAGGCGCACCCCGGCAGCCAGAGGCTCAGATCCAAGCAGCCCACACACATCTGAGGTTGACACCTACCTGGACATGGTCCCAGAAGTGACAGGTCATGAAGGATACAAGAAAACTACGGAAGAGGGAGCTCTGTGTCTAGATGTCTGCCGCTCACACAGTGCAGTAGCCAATCCTGTGGCCGAGCCACACTGCCCAGCCGGGGCAGCCCCTCAGGCAGGAGGGTATCTGTGCGTACATAGTGTGTGACGTGTGTGATGTGTGTACCTACTGCGTGTGTGTGTACGTGTGTGTAGGTGAGACTTCCTGGTACGTGGTGTGTGGTGTGCTGTGTGAGTATCTAGCGGGTGACCAGTGGGCACATGCTGCACAAAGGGCCACACCATAAAGCCCTTCAGTCCTGCAGGCTCTTGGTCTCTGTCCCAGTTGCCCAGCTCTGCTGCCGTGACAAAGTAGCCACAGAGGGTGGGCACGGGACGCAGGAGGCTGTGTCAGTAAACTCTATTTACAAAGCCAGCTGGAGGAGACAGGGGCGGAAGCTCGCGAATTCCTGCTTCAAAAGCAACTCGAGGTCACTTGGGGAAGCTGGCTAAGGTCTCGCGGTTCTCCTTTGCCAACCTCCAGCACACCAGGTTTATAAGTTAGAGCTGGCATGACGAGTCTCTCTGGACGCTCACACTGCTCACGTGTGCACACACTCAGACCACACGAAGGCTCCTCTGAGGGCACTTGCCTTCTTCAGCTTACAGACAGCTCTGTCCCCAACGGGCCGAGCCCCCGGAAGCCTCACCTCCTGCACCATCACGGCCGTGCACGCCTTGGGCTCTCCCTAACGGGCCAGGCCGCCCTCCGCTCCCTGAAGAAGATGTGGAAAAGGTGACAGACTGGGACTGGGCCCGGGGGTGAGGGGACGGAGCAGGGCTTCTGCCAGTCACAGAACAGTGACCGTCAGGGGTCAGGGTTTCCTCCAGGGAGCTGCCTGGGCGCTGGCCAGCTCTCCAGAAGGGATAAGAGTCGGTGCAGTGACTTGGATCTGGAGTGTCGCCCAAGAGCTCCTGTGTTGAGGGGCTGGTCTCCAGTGCAGCAGTATTCAGAGAGGGGGCTCTCGGTGGGCTTGAGCCGGGGGTCTCACCGCATCAGCGACAGATCAGTGGTCTGACGGCGTGGCTGGGAGTGGCAGAAGCGGGAGGCCTGGTTGGAGAAGCACATCACTGGGGTGACCTTGCCCCAGCCCCTTCCTCCTTCCTGTCTCCCCTGCCCCCTCTGCTTCCCAGCTGCCATGAGCAGCCCCCTTCTTCTGCCACCGCGTGTGTGCCCGGAGCCAGCAACCAAGGACCTGTGGGGCCGGGAGCCAAAAGGACTCTCCCTCCTAAGTTGTCTTCCTCAGGTGTTCCGTCCCAGCCACGGAAAGCGGACAAGGACCCGGGGCTGGCGAGGCAGGCCCACGGCCCTGGGTCCCTCTCAGCAGGCATGGGATGGCCACTGGGCAGTGATCACAGCCAGCTTGCTGTCAACAGAAATGGAGTGAACTTTGGTGTTTAAAGGCCATTTGGAACGAAAACGACCACGTTTGATCTATTTGATAGAAGGAGTAGGACATAGGTAGAAAGGAGACACACAGGAAGGACAGGAAAGAGGATTTCAAATTCAGAGTTCCGCCTTCTTTTCCAGGCCGGTCACTCCCTAGGCCTGCCTCCCTCGCAGGCCCGCTACTCCCAGATGCCTGGGCCACCTGTAGATCTTCCTGTGCACTGTTGATGAACTCCCAGTAAACCAGCTGGGCAAAGAGAGAGAGCCTTTCTAGAGGAACCTATAATTTAGGGGACTTTCCAGCACAGTAGACATTGATCAGATCCTCCTGAGGACTGGACACTGTCCAGACCACCAAACTGTCTCACGATCACTGGACGATAACTTCCTACAGACCTTCCCACAGCACCCCTCACCACGCCCCCTGTAAAAGACGAGCTGGGAACCCCAAATGCATCTCTCACTCTGCCAGTGGCCCGCAGTGTCCCTTGAATAGTCTCTATTTTCCTAAATAGACCCATCTCGGCCTTCAACTGGAACTTGGTGGGATTCTTTTCCATCCAGCTGCCAAGCACCCAGCTGACCCGAGAGCCACTCTCTGCGAACTCCTCAGACCCTTCCTCGGAGACCCCCTTCTCCAGGACACAGTGAGCATGCTGGTTCCCAGAGAATGGTTTAGGTCATGAGTCATTCCGTGGTGCCACAATTTCTCCTGCAGTTTCCTTGTTCCTTGGGAAATGATTAAATAAAGAAGCCGTGTATCAGCAGTCAGAGCCAAGCGGGTCAGTGAACGCGCATGGTGGGAAGGAGGAGGGGCGGCCAGCCCTGCGAGGCACGGCACACACAGGGCTGTGGTGTGGCTGATGTACAAGGACGTGGTGGTTGACCACATGTGGAAGGTCGGGGAGCACTGGCCCCTTGAGGTGATGGGGTGGCACCATGATCAAGACAGAGGACTCAGAAACCTCTACAGCAAGTCAAGTCCAGAGGGACAGTGTCTATGCCGCATGGGCCTGTGTCCTTGTCCACCGTGCACATGTGTGCCCACTGAGGGCCCAGGAGGAGGCCCTGCAGTGCACCAGTGCTGGCGGCAGGATGGTCTCCAAGAGACAAAAGGGGGGCAGGGGGCTGGCGGCAGAGCGGCGCCCTCCTGGTCCAGCCCTGGCACGCAGGCCCCACAGCTCCATCACAGTGTGTGCAGCTGTAGTCAAGCCAGGGTCCAAGTGGGCACGAGGGTCCTGCCGCCCGACCTGGCCACAGCCCCGCCTCTGTGTCCAGGAAGGCAGAGGACCAGCCCCTCTGTGGAGGGCACAGAGCGTCCACCGCAGCTGTGGATACTGCAGCGGCATCTTCACTGCCTGCAGGAGTCACGTCTGGGCTGGACACGGGGGCCACGAGGCTGGTGGGCTGGACCAGCGGCCCCGTGGTCTCCTCTGCTGGGTGGGTGCAGGGCAAAAGGCCCAAGCTGTAGCTGTCCTGGACTCCCACCATGGCCCCTAGAAGCAGGCTCAGGCTGCTCTGGTTCTCAACAGCCTCTCCAAGAACCTGCCTTGGAAGAGGCAGGGCAACGTCGACATGCGAGTGGCCAGAGCTGCTGTCCCTACTGAGCGCCAACTGTATACCCAGAGCCCCAGCAAGCTGGGCTGTTCCAATCTGTACACCTACCTTCAGGCTGCACTGGCTCCCACTTCACGGCTGGAGGCAGGTGTTTGAGGGGTGATAACCCCATGGGAACTGGAGCCACGGAGTCCCCGGGGGGACAGTGGGGAAATGCCCGGGCCCAGCCCTCCTCAGAGCCAGCAAGGGCACTGCCCGGTTCAGACCTGCTGTGGGAGCGGAAAGGACCAGAGCCCTGGGTGGACTGGGTCCGGAGGCCTGGCTGCAGCCCCGCCCTGCGCCTTTCATGGGTTGTCCTTGGCCCCAGTGAACAGAGACACAGGTTTCTGAGAACCTGGTCAAAACGTGGAGCCCCAGGACTCCCCTGACCTCCGCCGCCCCCGCGGGAGAGCACGGCGCCCGTTCCATCAGATCTGGGAGGCTTGCCTCCAGAGGCTGTGCTAATCAGGGCCTGGAGGAGGACCTGAAGGGGCCACGCTGTCCTGGGGAGGCGGGCTGCCCTGGGGAGCCTGGGCAGATGCCCACTCTGCCAGGGAGAGCTGCGGTTTGGATCAGCTCCTTGACCCGCTGAGCCACCACGGGCAGGAGACATCCCTCTCAGAACCTCATCAGAAACACTGGTGAGGACCACCTTCCCTGACTGAGCACAGTGGGCTCAGGGAAGGTCCAGGAGGAGACCCCAGAAGCTCCCTTCAGCCCCGCCCTCAGGAGAACCTGGGGGTGGAGGGACTTCCTCAGCAGTGCCCCTGAACACCCCTCTGAGCTGGAGTGGGCCGCTGCTCAGGGCACGCTGGGTGTCCGCAGGTGCCGACCCACAGAGCGGCTGTGGTAAGTGCAGGAGTGGGGCACCTTCCTCAGGAGGGGTCTGTGTGCCTGGGACCAGCACTGTCCTCCAGCACCCAGGACGGAGCACCCAGGGAGGGGGCGAGGAAGGGTCCCGAGAAAGGGGCACTTGAGCCTCAGGCAGTCTCCTGGCCACACAGGGTCTGGTCAGGGAGGGAGACAGACTGGGGAAGGGAAGAGCAGGCTGAGCAGAGGGACAGAGACCTGGAAGTCCAGAGACGCCCTGGACCTGTGTTGGGGGCCTGGCTGAGGGCGGCATGGGGTGGGGGAGGCCAGCAGGAGGGTAGAGGCCGCTGCACCCACAGGAGAACAGCAGCCCCGGGCTCAGGCCTCGAATCCCACAAAGGGCTCGAGGGAGTCAGACGGAAAACAGCATCCTGCCCGCTGAGCCCAGGCCCCCTGAGAAGTCTCGGTAACACTCAGCAAGCCCCCTTCCAGAGGGGAGAGGTTTCAAAGTAGCTGCCAGACTCCGCTCTCCTCCCACGCCCGCCCTCTCCCCCTCTCCCCCACGGAGCCGGAGCCTTCCCAGCAGCCCGCCCCAACATTCCTCCTGGATGTCTCTGCCACTCCCCACATTCCAAACTCCCAGCTCTGCCAAAAGGGCCCACGTGGTGGGGTCGTGCTGCGGCCAGGACCCTCCCACTTCACCCCAGCCCGGCCTCCCCGGGATGCAGTGACCCCTCCCACGGGGGCCTGCGAGGTCACCAGCGCTGGCCTTCCTCCAGCTGGCTTTCCAGGGGAGGACATCGGGGTTCTGAAGGCCTGAAGCTCACCCAGTTCGGGGCCCTCTTTACAAACAAAGAGCTCGGGATGGCAGGTACAGGGTGCGTAGGAGGGGCTCATTCAGAAGGGAACCCTGTGGGGAATCACAAGAGCTGGTGACCGTCCCACAGACAGCACTGCCAGCGCAGGGGAGGGGCAGCTCCAGGCCCCGGGAGGCTCTCCCTGACGCTGCTGACATGCTCAGTTCCCTGCTCTGTCACAGATCACCCAGAACCTCTGCTTCACGTCACCACTGGCGTCACACCGCTGGTGACCCGTCACTCCTGTGAGCTGGAGTCAGGGCCGGAGGCGGCCCACTCTACATGGGCAGCCTGCTTGGGCGCTTCCAGGTGGGGCTCCTCAGCCGGGCCACCCTGAGGGTGGTCCTGGGTCTAGCCTTGTAGTGATGTCAGAGTAACTGGGAATTTTGAACACCACCGCAGCTGCCCAAGCCCTGCCAACCTGGGGTGACGTCCCTGTCTGAACCTCCCTCCCAGTTGCTTGGAAGCACAGGAGTCCTGAGGGCCAGGTCAGCACTTTGCAGGAGCAGAGAGGAGGTTCCAAGGCTCCAAGGGCGAGGGGCCAGGCCAGAGGGCGGTGATGTTCTGGCTAACCTCACCCTGCGTCCCACCTTCCACATGACTCCTATTTCCCAGGGCAGTGTCCCAAGCATGCGGTGGGTGGGAGAAGCGGAGGCCTGGAGGGAGCACAGTCACCCGCGCAGAGGCTCAGGAGTGTCTCAGGGGACTGCACCGCAAGCGACTTCTGTCAATATTAGCAGCAGAGAGAAAGGTGGATGTCAGAGTTTCTGAACGTGCTCTGCCACCTGTTGCCTAGTGGACTGAGTTTCTAAAGCCACCGTAAAGTGCCACCATCAGTGACCTGGAACAGCAGAGGCTGTCCTCCCACTGACTGGAGGTTGAAGTCCAAGATCAAGATGTCAGCAAGAAACCAATTCACTCACCTCCGGAGCTGAATGTCTGCGTCCTTCCCCAAGGAGGTGGTGTGAGCCAGGGGACCCTGGAAGCCACTAGATCAGGAGGGTGGAGCCCTGATGGATGGATTAGCACCTGGGGAAGGGACCCCCGAGACTGACCAAGTTATGTTAAGTGCGTGTGTGAATACGCCGCAACGTACCCTCGCCATGCACCAACTGAGAGAGAGGAGAGCCCGTCCCTGTCATGGTGTGAAAACGTGGCGGGAAGGAGCACCCACAAGCCAGCCAAGGGCCTCGGACACCCCATCTGTCAGCCTCGTGATCCGGGCCCTGCAGCCTCCACAGCTGTGACGAGTGAATTCTGTCCTTCACGAGCAGGGGCAGGGCCTGGAGGAAGTCCTGAATGGGTCACCCTGCGGTCACCACTCCCTCAGGGTTGGTTCTTGACTCCACCATGGAAAAGTCAGGCCAAACACACCCTGGGTCTTCTCTCCATGAAAGAAAAGATGGTCACACGACAGGGACTGGCCTTCCTAAGCAGAAGAGAAAGGGGACGCTTCCAGGTGGGGCAAGATGGAAAGAAGCCCAAGAGGCCTGTTCAGGGACCCAGTGGCCTCTGACTTCGGAATGGCCAGGGCTGGGCCAAGAGGAGCACGCAGAGGAGTCTTGGCGTGTGGGAGGGTGCCAACGGACAGGTGTTTGGGGCTCATGAAGCACTAAAGCCCAAAGAACGTGGAATGTGGGGTACACACTGTGACTCCTGAGTCACGGCCCAGCCAGGGCAGCCATCACGTGTGTCCTCAGCAGTCCAGTGGCCACCAGCTCTGGAGGTGGCCCTTGCCACTCTAGAAAACCTCACCATTTAGTCAGATACAGGGATATCCCGCTGCAGGAGACCAAGTCCATGGCCTGGAAAGGGGCTGGAAACCACCCTGGGTTGTCCCCATGGGTCCCACCCTCGGCATCATCCTCACCCTTGCCCTGCGGAACCACGGGCTGTGCTGGAAGGCGAGCGACTCCAGCCCTGCCTTGCCCGAGTAGAGGCCTGGACTCTGCAGACGCAGACGCACTCCATGGTGAGACCCTGGGCTCCAACATCCCCAAAGACGGAGCTCTCTACCAGAGTAAGGAAGGTTGGTTTCCAGGGAGGTTAGGGATTCTGCAGACAGGCTGGTCTCCTGCAACCGGAATGTGGATAACGGAGACCCTTCCGGCCTGACTCTGCGGGCTAAGACCAAGGGTTCAGACGTTCGCTGCTTGAGCTCTCCAGGACCCACAGCCACCTGCAGACTTGGATGAGCCGCTTGCTCCACAGAAAAAGCAAGGCAGGAGCCCTCTTGATGGGAGACAGGGGCACAGAAGTGGGGGCCAAGAACGACTTCGCACAGCACCTGCAGGTCCCCAGAGAGCAGCTTCCTGCAGTGTGCACTCTCTCCTCTGCCACACCCTCCTCCCCTGCCCAGTGAGCTACAGTCAGGAAGAGCTAGAATCCCTTGCATCCCGCGTCCTGGCTCTGCCCCTCCCCGGACCTACAGAAGTTCCTGGTTCGCAGGTAGGTGAGCAGAGTCTGCGTGGAGCTGGCTGCCAGCTTGTGCACAGCCCTTAGAGGGTGCCCGGTCCACACAGCATACCATCTGGGCTCCAGCCTGCCAGCAGGCCACCCCTGGCACTTGGCTCCACCTTCCTGAGCCCGAGTTTTTGTCTGTTAATAAATGGTGGCAACAAACCTGCTAGGACTATTGTGAATAGAAAGGGAAAGTGCAAGAAAAGAGCTCAGCACAGGAAGCGAGCAGTGAGCACTTAGTAAGAGCGGCCAGCACCTTACAAGGGAGTGAGCTAGTGTCAGATCTGAGGGTTCCCAAGGCAGCTGGGCTATTTGAAAACAAAAACATTCTTTATTTTTTAGTTCTGGCGTGTAGAAAGCTTCCCAGGGTACTTTTGGTAAGAAACAACCAGAAAGACTAACATTTTGTACTTTTGGTGTTTGGTTACAGGACAGGGTGGGGAGAGGTGAGCAGACGCTGTGGACTCTCAGCAGCCCTCAGCGGCCGTCCCCAAATCAGACAAAGGGATCTGTGGACTCTCAGCAGCCCTCAGCGGCCGTCCCCAAGTCAGACAAAAGGGATGGGCCCCACTCCCTGTGCCCCGAGCTGTGTGCAGAGCTCCCCCAGCCCAGGCCTTGCTGGGCACCTGCCTCCTGATGGGGTGTGTGCCCCTCTCACTGCAGAAGGTTGGCGTGAAGAGTCCCAAGTTCGCACCAACAGGCGAGACCTGCTTGAGGCATGGCTCTGGGAGCTCAGGGCATTGTTGAGAAGCACGGAGGCTGGGAGGTTCCAGCAGGGTGTGGCCAGGCTGCCCTGACCCAGACAGGAAGACCCATGGAACATGGGAGGGAGTGCACACCAGTCCTTGCTCTGTAGAAGGAAGTCTGTTTAGCATCGGGCTCCGTGGTGGTGCACACCTGTGATGCCAGCTTTGCCAGGGCTAAGGCAGGAGGATCTCAAGTTCAAGGGCACCTCAGCAACTTAGGGAGGCCCTGTCTCCAAATAAAAGGCAAAAGGACGGGGTGCAGCTCAGTGGTAGAGGGCTTGCTTCATAGAGTGCAGGAGACCCCGGGCTTACCCCCCATACAAAAGAAAGAGGAAGAGGAAGGGAGGGAAGGAAAGAAGGAAACTCAGGGAGGGAGGAGGCGAGATCACGACCACCTGGCGTGAAGCAGTCTCAAGGCCTGTGGCCAGGTCCTCAGGTGCGGGGCCAGTGTCACTCTCAGGGTGGGGGGAGGGCCTCAGTGGGCTGAAGAAGGCCCTGACGGCACAAGAACACAGCAGGCTCTCTGGGGCGGCCGGCTGTGACGATGGGGGCGCCGGCTCTGTACCGTCCCTGTGAGCCCCAGCGCACCAGGGGTTTGCCCTTTGGGGTCCTGCATGCCTGGGCCCTGCCGCTCGGTATTGTTTTCTCAGCTTTTGAAGTTGGCGACGAGAACAGCCGGAGCTGCACGTCGGTCGTTGGGTCCTTTCCAGAAGGGTCTGACTGGTCACTGGAGGACCGGCTGCATTTCCCAGGGCCACAGACCAGGAGCCTGCAGACGGCAGGACTTCCTTCCCTCAGTTCTGGGAGCCAGAACCTGAAGTGTGTCTGTGCAGCCACACACCTGCGGGACAGAGGGGGCTCTCTGAGCTCTCTCCCCTCTCCTGGTGCTGCCACGCCCCTGGTGCACCTGGCGTGAAGAGTCCCAAGTTTGCATCAAAAGGCGAGACCTGCCTCAGGCGTGACTCTGGGAGCGGCACCACGGCCAGTCTTGTCCTCGGAGGTCTCCTGGCCCCTGCCCAGTGCCTATCTTCATGGCACTTCACGCTTCTTACAAGACTCCAGCCACTCCAGGGGGGCCCCCCCGAAGGCCCCACCTCAGCCTGATGGCAGTGCAAAGGCCCTGTTTCCCAACAAGCTCGCGCTCAAGGAGGCGGAGGCTGGAATGTCCTCGCACATTGTGGGAGGACACAGCCCAACCCACGGCAGTGCAGATTTCAGGCACGGAGCATCTGTCAACTGAAGCCCCGGGTGAGGAGCGTCCCACTCTGAACCTCCCTCCACTTTCTCCGGGCCTGTGTCCACTTGAACTAGCCAGGTGGTTTGTTCTGCTTCCTGCCTCACCTCCTCTGAAAGCCCGTCCCTTGAGGCTGGAACTTGGGAAAGGGCTGGTGCTCTGCTTCCTCCCAAGCCTCTCCTGAGTCCAGAGGACTTCCCGTTTTCCGCCCTGAAGGTGAAGTTCACTAGTTACGGGAAGCACCGCCCGGCCCGCCCTAGGCTGGAGGCCTCGCTTGCTTGTCTCTCTCACATGACCACCTCAGGAACCAGTGTGGCACCAGGAGTGCAGGACGTGGACCTGGCTGGGCCTACCGGCTCCTCCTGGCCCCTGAGCACCGTGAAGAGAAAAGAGGGACTTTGAGCCGGGTGGAGGAGAGGCTGCTGAAGAGAGCCGTGAATCAGGGGAGACAAGAAGCTTTTAACCACTGGGCTGCAAAGTCGAGCCACAGAGAAGCAGGTCTGAGTCACGCTTTCTGTCATGGACAGCATTTACCTCGGTCCGGCCAGTGAAAATGCTCTTGCAATACAAAACAAACCAGCCCTGACCGCTTAGTTGAGAACACAGGAACTCGTCTTGGTAAGAGAGGAATTGTCCACCTTGGCGTTAAGGACTTTCTCAGGATGATATTGAGATCCTAGCGGGCCTGGTGCAGGGTACTATGTACACATTGTCATTTCAAAGCCAATGTCAAAGTGACACTCCAGAATCATTTTTCAAAACTAAGAGATATGGGAGAATTTAACACACAAAGACACTGAATCCTTAGAAAAAAACACAAGCTGTCGATGAATGAAGGCCAGAGAGTGAAGGACACACTTTCCCAGGTTAGTATAGAGCAAGCAGGGGGAATCCATGGGCCGGGTACATGTGCCTGTCCCCTTCCTAGAGCAGCAGAGGAGGGAATGGGAGGGATGCTAGGTGACCTCGCGGGATCATTGCACACACTCACTCCCAGAGCAACCGCCGACTCTTCTACGCAAAGTGATGATCAAGAGAAATAGTAAAATGCTGAGTCCGAGGAAGCTGAGCAGGGGCCCACTGTTGTGAAATGGTTGACCCAGGGCAGCACACACCCAGAGGGCCCTGCCGCCTGGCCTCCCTCTGCAGGGTCATCTCAGAATGGAGTGCCCACTGGGGCTGCACTAGGGTGTCCTCGGGAGGGGAAGCAGGCTGTGGTATAGGACAGCAACGGGAACGCGACTGAGGACTCATCATCCGAGACTCACACCTGCGCAGACCTGGGGGAGGGGTCCGGCACTTCAGGTGGCCTCCTGACACAGGCAACAGGCACGCTTCAGATGAGCGGAGGCCACTCTGCCGTGAGGACTGGAGTGCAGCACAGGCTGGCCCCAGGTGCGCCATGTCCACTGGGTCAGTTGACCACCCTAGAGCTTTGAGGAGGAGCAGGGCCCCGGCTGGACTCCACTGTGGCCAGACAGGCCAGGCTCGGTGCCATTGGAGACCTCCTGCACCTCCAGCTGTGACGTGGGAGATGGAGTCCCCGGGCCCAGGCAGGCCTGCTGTTGGCTGCAGGGAGTGTGCCAGCCAGGGAGGCTTCAGAGCAACAGATTTTACTGAAGGCCATGTGTCCATGGTGTGCCGGGCCCTGAGAACAGGAGGCCACGAGGCACAACCTCACCCTTGGGAGCTGAACACACAGCCCCAGACCCTGACACCACCAGGGAGGTCACCCAAGGGGCAGAAGGCACAGAAGCAGAGAAGAGCCAGGGAAGGGGGAGGGGAGACGGGCCTTTCCCCTGAGGACCTGCCTCCGGAGCCTGGGCCTGGGGCTGCACTTGCCCTGTCCGCTCTCAGGTCTACCCGGTGTGGCCCTGGCGCCGAGCACTGGGGAGCGTGGCTGTGGGCCTGAGCCTCTGGCTCTTGCCTGGAGCCTGGTGGACGTGTGGTGCTCTGGGCAAGTCCCTGATCGCTCCTGGACCCTGGTTCCCTCATACGTAGAGTGAGGGGGCTAGCAGAGAGACTTGTATGGCCCCTTGGGGGAACATTATCCTTAGGACTCAAGACCTCCTGAAGATTCGTCCACAGTTTTCTAAGACCGCGTGGGCTCAACTCCACACTACCAGGCAGACTCACCCTGGCACAGATGCCAGTGGCGAACTGGGCTGGAATTCACCCACACAGCGTGTCAGACACAACCCCCAGTTCCTGCTGCACTGTGGATCTGGGGCCACACAGGGCAGAACTGGGGGGCTCCTGCCTCCCATAAGAAAAAGGGGGTGTTTAGTGGAAATTCCAACTGCCCTCCACTCTGCCTTTAGCATCTCGTCCCAAGGGCATCAGTACAGACGAGCATCCCTGTTAGTTATTCCCCAGGGTCGCTACAAGGTGGCGTGACTGCCGGTCCCTCTGCTGTGCTGAGCAGGCCAGCACAGAAACACTGAACAAGCCATGAGCCTGAAAAGTGATGGAGATTGGAGTTAAGAAGAGACACGTCCCCTTCACATGGTCCCTGAGCTGACATGGACCAGGGATCCAGAACTAGATATGCCCTTCCTGCCTGTTGGGACGGGCACCCCAGTCCTCCTCAGAGGAACACACACACACACACACACACTCGACCACCTGCAGTCAGTCCCCTGCTAGGAGGCCTTTCTCCTTTGACACCTGCCCTGGCCAGAGAGCACCCGGAACACAGTGGCAAGGGTTCAGGGCACTGCAGAGGCCCCCCTGGGAGGTGGAGGGGACAGTGGCCTGGGTGCCCTCCTGATCCTCCACTCAGTGCTGATCGAGGGCTTCCTGAGTGTCCTCACCCCTCCCAGTCACCCCCTGTGTGTTGATGAACTCATCACTGTGAGCCCTGAGAAGCAGAGGTGATTGGTCCTCAGTCCTTGCCCTTAGGGTCCCAGACTATAAGGAGAGAAGAAAGGGAAGCTTCACAGTATGTGTAAGTGCTGCCCTCCATCCCCCCGCCCCCAGGCCAGGAAATAACACAGGAGCAACAGGCCGCCAGTCTACTGCGGAGGTCCCAGGAGCCACGCCCCAGAAGTGAGGACCACTGCCGGGACAAGGAGTTTGTGGGTGACTGGGCCCTGGGGGGATAAGGTCTCATGGCTTGTTTCCAGGGTCTGTCTGCTCAAAGGGGAATCCATCTCACCCCTGGGGTCCCACTGTGGCCTTCGCATGGCCAGCCCCAGGTGATGGTTTTCAGACGACTGTGTCTTTAACTGGGTCCAGCACCAGGTCCAGGGAACCATCAAATTCCACAAAAACAAACCGCAATCAGGGGCCAGAGGACAGCAGCCTGCACCCATGCCCCCACAGGCCAGTACCCTCGGGTCTAAGCCAGAGGAGGCCAGGGCCTCGGCCTCCTGCAGCCACGCCCGCCTGTCACCATGGCTGCAGGTGGGTCTCCAGCTCCTTAATCATGCCGGCAGAAACAAATGTGTTGCTCTGATCTGCAGACGGTTCCCACTTTACTGACGCACAGTGAGCATGGATTAGTCGCATGAACTACAAAAGGGGCCTCTCCTCTCCTGGCAGGTGTTCAGCCTCTGACTGCAGTCAGGCTCACAGCGGGGTCCTCCGCCGCCGCCAGCACCGCGGAGCCAACAGGAGGGATGCTGGAATCCGTGGCGGACCCAGGATGCTCCCAAATACGGACCCCGCCCGCAGGTGCCTCTGAAACCAGAGCTCCTCTCCTCAACACCCCAACCAGAGGTAGCAGAGCTGGAGGGTTAGCGCTCCAAGGTACGCTGTAAGAAAAGCCAGGGGTGCAACAGCGTGGATCCTCCAAGGCCATTTATATAACCCAAGGGTGTGTGTGTGTGTGTGTGTGTGTCCAAACGGGGAGTACAGGAAGGCAGTCACTGGTGTGTGTGTGTGGGGGGGTGTGTGGGTGTGTGTGTGTCTCCAAACGGGGAGTACAGGAAGGCAGTCACTGGTGTGTGTGTGTGGGGGGGTGTGGGTGTGTGTGTGTCTCCAAACGGGGAGTACAGGAAGGCAGTCACTGACCCGTTGGTGTCTTGGGTGTTATGAGTTGGTGTGGCCAGGGCGCAATTTGCTCTGTGGTCCTGACTTTTGTGGTCGAAGACTTCTGGCCTGCAGAGACCCAAGTGGCTGACTGGGTCAGTCTGGGAGAATCCCATGGCTGCTCTAGCCTCTGACCAAAAGGAACAGGCACATCTTAGAAACCAGCAGGACTATCTGCCTCCGTGTAACTGTGAGAGACCTCTTCCTCCCTCACGACTCACGTGATAGACAGCAGGAAGGAACCAGGAACATGGTCCTGCTGCCATTCCTCTTAGTGGTAGATCAGGGATGGACGGTGTAAAGAGCAGGCTGCACCTGCCCTGGGTGACTCCATGGTGTGTAGGACAGCAGTCCTCAGGCTGTGCCTGCCCTGGGTGACTCCATGGTGTGTAGAACAGCAGTCCTCAGGCTGTGCCTGCCCTGGTGACTCCATGGTGTGCAGGACAGCAGTCCTCAGGCTGTGCCTGCCCTAGTGACTCCATGGTGTGCAGGACAGCAGTCCTCAGACTGTGCCTTCTGTGGTGACTCCATGGTGTGTAGGACAGCAGTCCTCAGGCTGTGTCTGCCCTGAGTGACTCCATGGTGTGTAGAACAGCAGTCCTCAGGCTGTGCCTGCCCTGGTGACTCCATGGTGTGCAGGACAGCAGTCCTCAGGCTGTGCCTGCCCTAGTGACTCCATGGTGTGTAGGACAGCAGTCCTCAGGCTGTGTCTGCCCTGAGTGACTCCATGGTGTGTAGAACAGCAGTCCTCAGGCTGTGCCTGCCCTGGTGACTCCATGGTGTGCAGGACAGCAGTCCTCAGGCTGTGCCTGCCCTGGTGACTCCATGGTGTGCAGGACAGCAGTCCTCAGGCTGTGCCTTCTGTGGTGACTCCATGGTGTGCAGGACAGCAGTCCTCAGGCTGTGCCTGCCCTGGTGACTCCATGGTGTGTAGGACAGCAGTCCTCAGGCTGCACCTGCCCTGGTGACTCCATGGTGTGTAGAACAGCAGTCCTCAGGCTGTGCCTGCCCTAGTGACTCCATGGTGTGTAGGACAGTAGCTCTCAGGCTGTGCCTGCCCTAGTGACTCCATGGTGTGTAGGACAGTAGCTCTCAGGCTGTGCCTGGCCTAGTGACTCCATGGTGTGTAGGACAGCAATCCTCAGGCTGTGCCTGCCCTGGTGACTCCATGGTGTGTAGGACAGCAATCCTCAGGCTGTGCCTGCCCTGGTGACTCCATGGTGTGTAGAACAGAGTTTTCAGGCTACAGATATTAGTAATTATGTTTGAAATAAAAAAATCTGTGATTGCCCAGCTTATGCCTACCAGGTGAGGAGTGTTTGGTGAGCTGCAGCTGCTGGAAGTGCTGTACCTGAGAAGGGATTGCTATCCCATGCCCTTCTGACATTGTGGAGAGACACACATGCTTGGCCCTTGCTAATGGCACGGCTCATTCATGAAGGGTTTGGGGGACTTCTGCACAGAGAAGGAAGGGAGAAGGAGGCAGGAATGGGGGTCATGTCAGAAGGTAGGCGAGCAGCCATGGGTCCCAGCAAGCCTCAGGCCAAGTCCACAGTCCTCCTGGGACCCCTCCCTGCCCACACTCCAGAAGAGGCTTCAAGACCCCACTCTTGTCAGCACACCTCCTGAGCCAGCTGGAGTGAGCACAGGGCCCATGCCCAGGGCCGACTGCGTGTACTGCGTCTTCAGCGACTGCTAGTGCTTCTAGCTGCACACTTGCCATCTGATTAGAGGCAAAGTTGATCTATTTTAACTTCACACTCCAAGTTATTCGTGGAGTTTAGTCACAGCCCTATATAATAGAAAACCACCACTGCCTACAGTCATTTGAAGCCACAAAAACCCTCTCTTTGCACTTTCTATTTGCACTGTGGCCTGCAGGCTCCTGCAGCCGTGGTCTCCTGCCCTGCAGGTCCCTCTGGTCTGGGAGGCCTGGTGCACTGGCTGTCTGTGCCGTCCCTGGATGCCAGCCCCCTCCTCCTGTGCCCACGGGACCAGCCCTGCACACCAGGCCCTCTCCCAAGAGCCCCACCGGCTCCTGAACCAATAAAAGATCACATTTTAATTGAAAGTCACTGTGGCGGCCGTAGGCAGAGGTCTGTTTGTCCTGCGCCTGTGCTGGGGGTTAGCTTCGGCTTGTAGAAGTGCCCACCTCAACTCTGCTGGAAACAGAGTCACACGTGCACACTGCCAAATTTTCACTTAAACATCGGTTTTTTAAAAACCAACACTTCACTTGGTTCAAACTGTAAACCAAAGGTCACACGTGTCCAGTCTCCCTCCCACACTGACCCCAGCCAACAATCTCCTCTGAAGCCACACGGATCTTTCCAGAGATGCTTTGGCATATACAATAAATACATCACATAAAGGAGACCAAAAAATTGCCTGCAGCTTCACACTTGGGATAAGAGCCATGTGGGTGTGGTGCGATCAAGGTTCGGCCTTTCCCAGGATTAACTGAGTTTTCCTCCCGGCCTCCTGAGCCTTGCTGGGCCGGGCCTGTGGTGCCCACCGTGCAGTATGCCAATCGTGAAAGAGAAAGGGTACTTCTGAGGTGGCTGGCGGGAGAGTGGCCTCCACCTGCCTCCCTGAAGGGGGTCCAGGGGTGTTTATGGGTGGAGGCCCGAGGAAGGGGAACTGGAGGCCATGAGGAATGGTGACCAAACCACCAGCCACCAGGACACGGGGCACAGGTGTCACCTATGCTCAACTAACCTTGGTGATGTTTCGGGTCAACCGAAGCCAGGAACTAAGAGTGGAGACGTAGCTAAGGCTGAGAGCAGCGCTCACCGGGCTTTGCAGGCTGCGGAGCACGTGCCCTGTGGAGAGGCACCTCGCCATGAACTCTCCTGTTTTCACGGATCACTCTGGAGAGCTGAGTGGCGGGACGGACCCCGGCCCTCCTGGGCAGTGGCCTCCTGAGCACCAGCTTGCGGCCTGCTGTGCGCTGTGCCATCGGGTCAGCGAGAGGCTCCCAGGGAGAACGTGGGGCCTTCCTGGGAACCACATGCTTCCTTTCCCCTCCTGTCCTCCCCCAAACTTCCCAGTTCCAAAGCGTGACACTCCACACAACCCCCGCTTAGCCCAGATGAGGAGAGCCACTCTGAACTCGCCCAGGAGAGTGCTACAGAGAAGCGCTCACCGCAGGCGCTCAGCCAAGAAAGGATCGTGGACCACAGGACCAGACCCCTGTCGCCCAGCCTGCGGCACCCGTGGGGCAGAGCCGTCAGCTGGGTCCACAGCAAGCGCAGTGAGCACTCAAAAGCCCAGGGAGCTCTGTGACCCAGGGAGGACCCAGGCCCCAGTCACCAAGGGACGGGGGCCCCCTTCCTGTGGACCTGGGGGCAGGAATGTAGGGGTGCAGTTGACGGACCTCACAACCATGCGGCTTCAGAGGGAATCCCACAGAATCAGAGCGCGGTGGAGAAGGGGGCAGCAAACACGGGCCTGAGGGTGGCTTTCCCACCTCCCGGGCTATTCTTTCTTTTTTTACCACAGACAACTTTATATTGAGCTGTGATTTCTCAGGTCTTGTTGGTCAGTACACCTCAATATCGTCTCCTTAAGTCAGGATTCCTCAGGCTGGCTCCCCTTAAGCCAACTAAGAAAGCTAGGAAATCCAACCAGATTAATAATAAAACATCCTGTTGGTGTTCAAACTCCCCCAAACCCCGGGTCAAGCTGATTGTGGGTCATGAAGTTTCTGCAGCGTCCCTGGGAAGCCAGAGGACCGGCTGAGTCACGCCAACCCAGCGGGAACATGCACATCACATGGAGTCCACGCAGGACTCCACGGCCCTCCCCAAAGCCCTGTCCCGTGCTGAGGTGGACGCTTCCTCAGATCCCCGGCAATTCAACAAGAGCCACAGCAAACAGACACAAACGCACGTCTGGCCAGTGAGCTTGCTCGCCTGGACTCCACAGCCGCTTTGACTTTGAGACCCCCCACAGGGTAACAGGAAGGCAGTGGCCACTGTCTCCAGGTGGCTAGAGCGAGGCTCAGCAAGCCCCTCGGCAGGAGGTGGTTTCTCCAGAACCTGCACAGGCTGGTCGATCGCTGTTCTGTCTCTTGGGCCTACCCAGACCAGGCCAGCAGTGACCTCTGAGTGGCCTGTGGCAGACCGGGGTGTGCCGGGCGATTTGCACACTCACTGGCTGCAGAACGGCTCTCTTCGAGGGAGGAACAGATGTTTTTTCCTTCTGCAACTGAATCATGTGTGAACGATGCCCTATGTGAAGGCGCTTGTGCTCCAGGCCCTTCTGTGACCATCCACGGGGGACCCTTCCATTCCAGGAAGAGGGGCAAGACCTGGGGACCACCTCTGTCACCTGGGAGCATGATCAGGCAGCCTGGTTTTTCTCAAGCTCGGTTTCTGAGCGGTTTTGATGGGAACCTGATCCCTCCTCTCCCTTCTTCAAGTCCCCTTCCTCACCGGCCTGGACTGGAGAGCTGAGCTCTTTCTTGTGCGGGGAGGATGTCGGACGGAGACAAACTCCACTCTGACACATTGCAGCAAATTTGAATAATTTATTGTGACAAGGAGCGGCGCCCTCCTCCTTTGAGTTTAGCTGGGAAACTCTGAGATTCCCAAGCCTTGGCTACACTGCAGCGCAGGGGTCCAGGCTGCCCCTGATTGGTGTGAGATCCTGCAGGAAGCTGGATCCTCCCTCTAGGAGGGCTTTGCCCCCTCCTGTTGGCTCCCCCACTAGAAAGGTGCAAAGGTCACACACTGCCAGCTCAGCATGTCCTGCCAGGCCAGGCCAGTGCAAAGTCCACCTTCACCCTGGCTGGGCCATGTCCTGAGGCCCAGTGAGCATCACCAGTCTCCACAGCGATGAGGCTGAGGGCAGCCCGCCCTCGTGGAGAGATCTGCCGTGAGGGGTCTTCTCTCTGCAGACTGAGCCCTCCCTGCCTGTGTGGCCCAGGCCTGTCAGGAGGGACGCTCCCAGCCTATGGTGCCGCAGCCCACAACCCCTGACTCCTGACTCTGCCCCCTCGCTGTCTGCAGCATCACCTGCTTGGCAGCTGGGTGTGGGTGGTGGCTCTGGGTGAGCTGGGCTGGCCCTGCTGTTGGGTGTGGCCACAGGTGGGGAGCTCCGGGTGCCTCTCACCCTCCTTGAACCAAAGTCTCCTCAAAGTCAATCGCAGAAGAATGAGATCAGGTAAAGCTGCCGATGCTGGCCGGAGCGAGTCCCCTGACCAGTCTCAAGACCTGTGGGCAGAAAAGGAGCTGGAGGCACTCGCTGACCCCCCCGCATTCCCCTGGTGCGTCCATTGCAATATTGTAGGGGCCCTTGGCCTCTGAGACCCATGGAAATGACCTGGGCGAGCCCTGGTTCTGCTGCACAAAGACACGCTCAGAAAGATTGGCTTCAGCTGGCCCGCCGAGCGTAAAGCACCCCAGATCACAGCACAAACACACATGCACAGACAATCACCTGCATGTTGAAGAGACACCTTCCACATCTGAGGGGGAGCTTGTGCTGCGTGATACTCCATGAGAAAGCGCTACCAAACCCACAGGTGCTGGAGTCATGCTCGCTTCTGCTCAGTTGAAATCGCAATGAAAACTTAATTTTGCTCTAGATGTGAGAGAATAAACTGACTCTCATGCCCTCCTACATTCTGAAAGATAATTCCTGAAACCAGGCTTCATGTCGCTGTTGATTTTGGATCCTGGAGCCCTGTTTGCTTTGGATCTTTAGGTGGATCTACTTTAAGTGAATAATGAAGACTTTCTGAATAGAGGTCAGAGATTAGGCTCTGAGACAAGGACACCTGGGTTCCGGTTCCCACCTCCTGTGATAGCTGTGTGATTGGGGGTGTGCTACTTCACCCCTCTCTGGCTCTTTCCTCGTCCGTCCACTGCTCCTTGAAGGGAATGCATTAGATCAGGTTTTCAGAGCAAGCACAACACTTAGCCTGCATCATCACTCAACAAATGACAGCTATCAAAATGATTAGCCCATTCACCTCTGCAGCTTAACCTGTGCTCTGTGCTATTTTATGTATTATTTCAGAAGAGCTAATTGAAGTAAGTTCACAAGATTAAGCAAATAAGAAGAATCAAAGCTGCCCATATATTTGGAGAAAAAATTTTGCCTGCTTTTCTGCAACTTTCTAGATACAGCATTTAAAAGGAAAATATAAACAAATAATGCTATTTATGCAAAAATTAACCAGCACTGATGGGCTATAATTAAACTCACACAGCTCCCAAGCATCTGGGGCAAGACTCGGGGGTGCTTTGAGAAACATGAAGTACTATGAAAGACATACCCTCCTGGCCACCTG